TTAAGCGGAAACGCTCCAGTGCACGGCCCAGTTTAAGCGGAAACGCTACAGTGCACGGCCCAGTTTAAGTGGAAACGCTCCAGTGCACGGTCCAGTTTAAGTGCAAACGCTCCAGTGCACGGCCCAGTTTAAGTGGAAACGCTCCAGTGCACGGCCCAGTTTAAGCGGAAACGCTCCAGTGCACGGCCCAGTTTAAGTGGAAACGCTCCAGTGCACGGCCCAGTTTAAGTGGAAACGCTCCAGTGCACGGTCCAGTTTAAGTGGAAACGCTCCAGACTCATGATGCACCGCCGGCTGGAATGCAGCGGCTCCACAGGACTGAGGCAGGACCCAGCCCGGTTTCTGTGTCCTCACAGGACAACACTCCGGTTAGGTCTGTTGTGTTCACGCACGCTGACGCCGGCGTGCACGAGTGACGACTCGCGTCACGCGCCCACCATCAGACAGGTTCAGCTTCATCGGTTGCATTCCTGAGCTGTGCGAGCCGTTTGTCCGTCAGCAGAAGCTCCTGAGCTGCAGAGAGGACGTGTGGAGCACACGCTCGTCACTTTAGGTTTAAAACTGCCGCTGCATTCGGTTTCAGACCGAACGATGTGGAGCAAACACTTTCTCCCCACATGCACATCTGAGGATTTTCACGCAGAAAGAAGGAAAGAGTATTAAAGTTTACAACGTCATAAAATAAACGATAAATCGTTGTGATGCTCCAAACGACAACAGCTCAGACAAAACAACCAGCTTTAACTCAAAGGGCCTAAAGTGAGTCCTTTAAAAACTCAGATGTTTGTCAGAGACAACGATTGTTCTTGACTTGGATTAAATAACGTTAACATTTGCTGCGGACACGAGCTGACAGAACAGCATACAACATGGTGGAGGCGGGACTTCTCCTGGACTTTGGTCCAGTTGCTCAGCTTTGCTAAACTGTTTGGAGCATCAGGGAACAACAAAAAAAAAAGGACGTGTCTGCGTTCATCTCCACCAACATCACAACAAAACCGTTAAACATTCTGAGAAATTAATCTCAGATCCAGATTATTAATTAATCCAGTTTCAGCTGAGAGCTGAAGAACAAAGTTTGTACCTTCCAACGTCTGTACGTTAAAACTGAGCAGAAATTAAAACATAAAACTGAACAAAACCAAACTTGGAGCCTTTGAGGCAGTTTCTGGTTCAGGACTAGATTTTCCAGGTTCAAGAGTAAAAGGTGGGTTTCTGTCCGCCGGGCTGCTCTGCAGCAGCTCTGTGAGTGAAAGCTGCCAAAGTTGAAAAGTTTCTGTTGGGACGAGCCAGCTGAGCTCCTGTAAACGTGCGCATAAAACTCCTGCGACGCCACGTGCTTTTATGTTGGATGGGTAAAATTAAATCGGATCATCACTGCAGGCCTAATCCCAAATCAATCAGTTCCTGTTCTGCAGCGACAGATTAGCATTCCTCTGAATAAAAGAGCACATTTTACTGAGTGCGTGGGAAATAAGAGGGATTAGAGAGCAAGCACTGCTTTGCTTTACTTCGGCCGTTAGCCTCAGCTTTAATTAAAACCTCTTATTACCCCGAGTTGTGAAACGGCAGCACCTGCAGACGACATGAAGTTCCATCACGTTGCAGCTTGAAGGAGTTTTTAATGGAGGAGCTGCTCCTTCCACAAACACCAACCGTTTGTTAGCTCCAAGGTAAACACGAAGAGAGATGTTCTGGTGTCACCGAGGCCACGATGAACCAACAAATGGCACAAGAAGAGATTTGACCTTTAACTGTGACGACAGGAAAGAAGAGTGCTTCTGCAACAAGCAAAGGGCTCTTTGGTGAATCCGCTCATTAACAAATATCCAAATGATCCATCTACTTGATTTATAAGAGTCAAAATAAAGAATTTATTCATAAATAAACTGAAGAGCTGATTCATTTATGAGGTCGGGGTTAGAGGCACGTGGATCTCCACAGACACGCATGACTTCAGATCCTCCGACACGTAAAATATTTATGGTCACGTTTGTTCTGGAGCTGATGGAGCCGAGCCGTCGTCCTGGCGTTCCTGACGAGCTGCAGGAAGAGCACGTGCACTCTGCCTCCATCCTGGAAGATTTGTTTCATTTCTCTCGTGAGACTCAACGAGCAACCTGCCCAACTGATGATTTCACTTAAACTGATGAAAATAAAATCAGTACAAAAAACTTTTAACTACGACACTGTAAAACCGCACCGCAGCGTTGGTCCACTTCCTGTTTCACTGTCCTGACGCTCATCAACCCTTGTTTCTACAGGTTAGTCCCACTGAGACTCGGGGACTCATTTACAAGAGAGACCTGAAGACCTGATTATTCGAACAGGAACGATCTGTGGAAAGCACTCGGTGAGTTTAGGTTGGAATCTCAGGGTCGTGCACGTGAAATAAGTCCACAGCGAGTCTAAAACTGCTCAGTTACAAGTCTGAGAACCTGCTGGAGACATCCTCATCATGGACGCTCTTCTCTGCGAAGTTCGGTCAAAAAGGAGCGAGTTATTGTGGTTTATAAAAGTCTGGCTCCGGTTAATGGATCCATGGGAGCAGCGTTTGGACATCCTGTCCCAGGGGAGACGTGGGACGAAGACGGAGGTCAAACAAGCTGTTAACAACCGAACAAAAGGACGACACAAAGAACATTTCTCTTCAGAGTTCTGACAAGCTAAAGTATTTTTATATGAGTTAGAGAAATTAACTTTCCTGTGACAACGCAGTGAAAAGACTGAAAGACTGCTTTAGTACAAAGTCTGTAAAAGTCCTTTAGACACCAGGATATTATTATATATTATTATATATTATTAGATATTATTATATCACTAAATAAGAAATGGAAGAGGCAGAAGAGTTTCAATAAATGTAGAGAAGAAGAACAGAAAGAGAAACTCGAC